AGTCCCCGGAACGCGCATTCTGTGCGAAGATTCCGGTTTCCGGCTAAGGCGCCGCCAAGTATTATGTTACTTTGGGAGTTGTTTTTTTTGGGAATAAATCCAAAATGCTGGAGGAAAAAGTGAAAATTCATTTTTAAGAAACCTATAAATACATTAATCGCTGACAGACAGAGAAAAAATGATGAGGGACCGAGAGTTCCCATTGCTTTCTATCTACTAATCCTTCAAGTTGCCAACAATTCATTAGTCATTACTTTACTGCTTGTTAGAACTAACAGTGCAAGATGTAGTTGGCATAGGAAGAGATATCTTCAGACTTTGAAAAAGACCGATAATGTAATATGTATTAAACCTGTTTCATTTAATTCACTTTCTGGTTGAGCTATCAATGCTACTGACCATTGGTCTTTGCTGGCTAACAGGTACATTGTTTTACTGATTGTGGGACGTGTGGCACTGTGTCTTGACCGCATCTTAAGAGACATTTCATATTCAAGTGACATCATATGTTCAAACAAACTATTTTCAGAACTCTTTCTACATTTGCGCTTTTTTATCGATCGAATGTTAAGGTTAAGCAATCAATATTAATAGCATTTAAACATGAGAAACACTTCAGCGATCGACTGGTCTAGTACATTTATTTCCTGTGAAAGCTTTATAATTCGCGATTCAAAAAATTTTTGAGGTCATTGACAACTGAAATGGTAAATGATTTGGATTTGACAGGATAGAAATATGTTTGAGATTGTATTTTCTCAGAAGCTTGAGATAAGCGTAAATGTCTCTGCATGATGACGTGACAAGCCCACGCCGGCTACACAACCAGAAGGTGAATAAACTTGTTCATTGTATGCACATATCTTCCCGGAAATCACTTGTTTATCTGTATTCTGTGTAAAGTTGAAAGACACTCGAATGGTCATAAATGATAGGGATAGTATTATTTGATCGTATGCTATTCTTATGTTTAGCCAGGAAAGAAGAAAAAGACGGTTAAAAATCAGTTGGCTGGCCAAGAAATATTTGAAAACTCGAAGACTGAAATTTCAAATTATCATTCGACTGGAATCAGTGCTTCAGCCACACAGTTAATTTTTCTTATCATTTTCAGCTTAATATTATGAGAGATGAAATAGTGATAAAACGTTTAATACTTATCATGCTTCTAGGCCCTTTCCATTATTCAGAATGCAGAGAGTAAAAATATCCAACTACTTAAGGTAACTTGCGAGGCGATACTGACGGATGACTTGAAATTCATGGTTAAAGAAGCATTTATTAAACTTTGCACCTGTTTGCAGTACTCCATCAGAAATAAATCTGGAAAAGAAAGGTGGTGATGTGAATTTGGAACTACTAAATGGTGTGGCTGAGATGAGATTGAAAAATAAAGTGGAAAAAGTACGTATGTTAGTATTTTAATCATATTAATTTTGTAAATATAAATTAGCAATATAGCAATAATTGAAGAAGCTGATAAGTTTGAATCGTGAATAGCAATTAAATTATTAGTACACCTGTCAGATTGCTATGTATTGGTAGATGTCGACCATATCTTATTTTCCTAAATTGTCGAATCCAATCCATTTTCAAAAACTTTCACTACCATATAAAAATTGAAATTATATTCAGGAAGATGAAGATGACACATTATTTAATGTGGACCCTATAATGCCTGATATGGATTTACCATCTCTTTGTTTAAACGCTAAAACGGAATAATGTGATAAGATGATAATGATAGGAAGGATGAATGGATAGTTATTTTATTCTCATTCAGAAGTGAAAGTGAATTCGGATAAGACTGTTGTTTTATGTGAAACAAAATTACTAAAACGTTGAAATTCAATGCTGTTCTCCCAGAGGTGCAAGCAAATGCAAATCAATTGTGGCATTGATGTGCTTATCATTGGATGGAGAATGTACGGGGGAAAGTATTCAACTAAAAACATTAACCTATTTAATCGATAGGTCACGGACCTCTTTCATTAATTGCCAAATTTTTCAACGCCTTTACTTTTTATTGGGAATACAGCCATCGACTAAATTATTGATACTTGAAAAAACAATGTGGTGACCCGCAACACGCCCTCGATATTTTCCTCACCACGCACACCTATTGTCCGGGAAAGCTTTCAGTACAGAAAAATCCGCGGTAGATCTATGATTCTCACTTGTTCCATTCAAATACGTATACTTTGTGAGCGATATGAAAAATCAGATCCAATTTTAGCGGTATGCACCTCTTATAAATTTGCATCGTTGCCAAATCCAACTTTTAAATTTCGAAGAAAGATTACCCTATTGACAAGTGAAATTTAATTAAACTTATAAACCTTATGATAAACATATTTTGCAAATATTTGATTAAAATATGCATAAAAGAAACCGATGGATTCTAAGACTTTCCAACTTAAAATTTCATCATTTAGTGCGAGAAATTAAATTTGAAAACTTGAAAAATTAATGAGAACAAAAAAACTGTGGAATACAGTAACACGGAAATAACTTACTGAGACAAATCCCACTATGCAGTTAAATAACCAATAGGTTGCTTACACAGATTTTCCATCAAAAGAAAATGTCATTCTTTGTTTATCTATCAGAAACAACAAAAAGAATCCGTTATAATTGATGAGAACAATTGGTTTGAGAATACAAATGAATGGCAAGAAAGCATCATATATTTCTTCAGAACAGTATAAAGTTGGTAATTAGAATTCTATTCTATTCACTGAAATCTTTTCAAGTTCACTTCGTTGATTGGTTGAAATTTTCGAATGAATGAGTAAGTCGAGAAGAGTTCAAAACATTGTATGATGCAGTTCCCAAATTTAGAAATAAAACGACAAATTATTTTTTAAAGTAAACAAATAGTTTCTTTCATTGATGTTCGAATTTATAAAGCTGGCGGCGTTTTTAGTTGAATTCAATTTTCACTAACTTCTCGTCAATAATGCGAAACGAGGGAAGATACATAACAGGAAATCATCACATCGGTATCCAACTATCTAAGAAATACTCATCTTTTTTCATCATTTTCTCTAGTATTGAGTTATGTTTTGGCCAGTTATTATAATATATTGTGGTACCATTTGTCAAATAAGCAATCCACCAAGAGAAAGTGCCAGTACTCATTATCGTATGATTACAACGAACCAGTGTTGCCATATCGACTTCTCGATAACCCGATGATACGATGTAGATTTCACCTTAAATCATTTCCATCCTTTACAAGCATATTAACTTCTAAGTTTTCTACCATTGAGTACAAATTAATTTTGTAATTAGTCTCTGGTCATTATTTGACCTGAAGTTTTGTAAAGCTGAACGGGAAAATGTGGAATTTCTTCTCTCTTTTTTTCTTTCCATCCTCTTAGTGTATAATACTCATTTGATTAAAACATTTCAAAAACATTCATTTAAAGCATTGAAATGAAAATGAATTAATTCGATTAAAATATGGGTTTGGGAAATGTTGGAATAGAAATTTAACAACAACCATTTAACAAATACCAACCTTTGCGAGTATGATTGATGTTTGTTTTAACCCAATGCTCATTATCACTGCTTATTACAAATATTATTTTTTCGAATTTTAATCTACAATACATGATATTAATATTGAATTAATGTCTGCTTCAATCACAAGAATGATATATCGACTTGAGATGAGTTGAATAACGAAAGTGAACTCTTCTAACTGCGCCAAAATGCTGTTTTATTCTTTAATAAGCGAGATAGAGAAATAGTAGTAGTAAATTAGGGTAAAGTGGAAAAGGAATAAGATAAGATGACTATCATTAATTCTTTTTGACAACAATTCGCTGTTCATATTGTCAGCTCAGTCTTCAGTAAGCTTTTCATCAGAAATTTAAATAATTTTTGGATTTTAATTTCGAAAACTCTTGTGATGTTATCCAGTTAAAATCAAATAGAAGGGTATCTCATACGAATAATGATTTACAATGATGATTTGAACTGAAATAATTCCACCTAAACTGATCTCATCTTACTCACCTGAAATAATTCATTGCACTGATAACATAATCTTTCGTGATAGCCGTATGGCCGTATTTTATATTCCGACTATTCATTGTAACGTCCATACCACGTCTTATATGTATCCCAACGTATATATAACCTGTCGTTATCAAAAGTCAAGATTGCATATTAATCTTTTGCTTCTATGAATGCTTTGAACTTTGCAGTAGAAATTGGAAGAGTAATTAAATTGTTATCACAGAATTATAGGAGGGACACCATAGAAGTCTTCAGCAATATCCAATTGATCTTGATGGTTGTTAAGATCATTGACAACGGTAGCTTCCGCATGAAGTTTCTCGTATTTGGCTTCTTGCAGATAATCATCCGCTCTTTTGATAATTTCTGGTAAGAAGGTGAACTGTTTGTGGATCAAATCTTCCTGAAGTCAGTTAGCTTGGTTTCATTTCGCGGTATTTTGATGAGAAGGGACAAGCAATGAAAGATAAAATCAATGACAGTAATGACAATGATGATGATGATGATAGCATTATCCAACAAATGACAGAAACTAAAAGCTAAAAGAGACGATATAAATTGTACAGGTTGGGCAAAATCATTAGATGCGATTAATCATTAACCGCTCTATATATTGCTTGAATTTCTGGTAAAAACAACTTAAGGGATGAAGCATAATATGAATTTACCTGTCGCGGGTGAAAGTAACGATATGATTGAAGATATCCCGAGATATATTCAATGTTTTGGTTTGTGAATAACTCATCAACTTCTTTTCCATAATATTTGCAACAGAACGAAAAATATATCGTATTTGGAATATTTTGGTGACTAAACTTTTTGAAAAGCTCGTAATTAAATTTAAAAAATTCAAAAAAGATGTTTTTTATCGATAAGCTGTGACTGATAAAAATCTCTAAACTAACAGCAAAATGACGCTCAGTTGGGTTGAACTGTTGGATTAGTTCATCATTCAGCTTAGTGCTTACTATAGTTGCATCCAATCTAAAGCCCCGCCGTAACGTACATTTGGCGGAAATAATCAACTTCGCATTATATACCTCAGCTATTGCTCGCAAAGATGCATATTGAAACATTAAGTTACCCAGTCCTGAAATGAAATTTCCATAGTTAAATGTTTAACTGAAATTTAAACTTTATCAAAATCACTTTAAACTCATTTCTGTATTGGACTGCTATTAAAATATTATTGCGATAAGGGCAGGATAGATAAAACGAAGTTTTGGCCAAAGTTTTTTGTCAAGATTTTATTGATTTTAAAGAAAAGAAAAGCCTTTTTTTTAAAAAAAGTATTCATGTTTTGAGTGAAATTTGGCCACATAACTTCTGTATCAACAATATGCAATTTTATCTTTCCATTTTAACAATAAAAAATTAGATAATACTTGTTCATATGCCAAATATATTTTGCAGGAAGTATTGAAGCAAAGTGTACCTGGGCTCCACGAAAAGTTACTTATTATATAACGTTCACTTTGATTAATATCTTCTATGTTTTCAATTATTTTTATATCTGGCAAAGTCCAAGGTTGATCGAATTCTACCTCTTCACCTGGATTATGAGAAGAAAATAAAAATGAAGATTTAATTAGAGCTTTAATTATAGATAAGATTTTCCTGAAAAATAAAGTGGTTTCATTTCCAGCCAGTTTTGAAGTTTTTTATTCATACTTCATATTTCCACTTTTAACTTCCTTATCATATCAAGCAGGGTCGGTTTTGATTCTTTAAAAGAAATTTGAATTCGATTCTCCAAAAATTGAGAAAAGAAGAACCTCCTTGAGGGAAAATTCGAGTTACTTGAACGACTGATAATCGATTCAAATGATTAGAGTCAGCCACATAGGTATCGTAAAAGCTCCAATTGGTTACTAATAATACCAGAAGAGATAAAATTATTGCAAAAGTTAGGAGTATCAGTCCACTTCTTGTTGCTGCAAAAACACATCCGTTTTTACCTTCTTTTTGTCGGACAGTTCAAATCAGCTGTCTCATAAATATTTGTTAAATTCATGAAGAATCTTAAAAATACTGAAAAAAAATTTAAAAGCCTCAGTTGTTTTCCATTTGTATGAAATAAAAATCTTATAAAATGATTACTTTATTATGCAAAATTCGAAAGAAATTGTTTCAATTCTCCTATGGTATATAGTCTGAATGTAAATTCAGTATATAAATCAGAATCATACCTTTCATCTTATCATATTTCTAAAACTGAAAGATAACAAATAAATGTTGTAATTTTTTGCTTTTTACATTAAAACATCAAGGTGACACAATTCGTTTTAGCAGACGCTTAATTTAGAATTCAAAGTGTAAATAAGAGAAGCAAATTACCAAAGCAATCTTGCATTGATCGTTAACGAAGAATAGACGAATGGGTTTGCTCTAATAAAGACTGATAACATCATGTTATTTCTGCTTCGAAAGCATTAGTGACGACGATATAACCTTGACAATGACCTTCGGAGACACGGGAGATTAAATGAAATGATTGAACCAACGAAAACTAAGACCGTCTATTGGTATAGCTTTCTAAACTTTCTCAAGATATTTCAGTAAGAAAGTGAAAAAAGGAAAAAAAATGAAAATATTTGTTCATTATCTGAATCAAAATTAAATCTATCGATCATTCAATTCTTCTTTTAATAGTTGAATAATATCAAAAGGTGTTAGATTTAAAAATGCGCTTCATCAAATTGTGTTGCATGTTGCACAACTGATAATATTTACATCAAGGATCGAGTTGTGAGAATCATCATGAATCTCTAGTAAATCTCAAGTAATTAAAGTTCAGGTAATCTGTAGTGCCGTTTAATTTGATTCTGACACATGTGACTTGATATTTTCACTAATTCCTCAGGCTTTAACTATCCTTATAACATTTATGATCCATCGGGAAATGATTATTAAGGTCTTTTACGAATATATCACATTCACTTTGATCCATTTTGATTTCATACCGGTGATCAGCAGTGATTATTTATTCTAAACCAGATGCCGACTTCGAATTTACATAAGCGAATGACAGATTAAATTCGTTTAGGTAAAGGTTAGCGGAAAGAAAAAAGTTACATGGATTTTCTTTGGTTTACACTATTATTTTGAATTTATTTCCTGACGAAGCTATTTTCTGCCATCTTTCATCTTCTTGACCTTTTTAATTCACTCGAAGAGATTGCGCGATCATTTTCGAAGTTCAGTTTACGAACCGGTTAAGTTTATAAATTAGGTGGAAATCACGTAATGTCATCTTTACAAGGAAAAATTTAAGATCCTTTTATAACTTCAAATAAGATATGTCAAGTTGATCTAAAAAGAAAGAGTTAACAGTATAAACTCAGTCAACGGAATGTGCTATTTTGAGACAGTTCCACTAAGAAATGTGCTTTTAACTGTGTTTATACACTAAGAATAAGAGTATTTTGGGAGCTCATAAAACTTTAGGAGTGTAAAAAATAAGACAGATTGGAGTGAACTTCTGCAGATAAACTGCTTTGCAACTTGTTAGCCAGCAAAGACCAATGGTCAGTAGCATTGATAGCTCAACCAGAAAGTGAATTAAATGAAACAGGTTTAATACATATTACATTATCGGTCTTTTTCAAAGTCTGAAGATATCTCTTCCTATGCCAACTACATCTTGCACTGTTAGTTCTAACAAGCAGTAAAGTAATGACTAATGAATTGTTGGCAACTTGAAGGATTAGTAGATAGAAAGCAATGGGAACTCTCGGTCCCTCATCATTTTTCTCTGTCTGTCAGCGATTAATGTATTTATAGGTTTCTTAAAAATGAATTTTCACTTTTCCTCCAGCATTTTGGAGTTTATTCCCGAAAAAACAACTCCCAAAGTAACATAATACTTGGCGGCGCCTTAGCCGGAAACCGGAATCTTCGCACAGAATGCGCGTTCCGGGGACTCCCCCGCCTTCTCC